AGAATATATATAATTATGATGGATTGACTTGGGGAGCTCTGGTGGTCTAGTGGAAGATTTCCCAAAAATATGCACTGATACTCTAACTCTTTCACCTATAGATATGAGTTAATTTTGAAATGGGTGTTGTATTTTATTGTATTACTTAGACTGTATTATTCTGAGTTCTTTAGAGAGGAAAAATCAATGAGATATATACATATACATCTTTATTCACCGATCTCTCTATCTACTTACTTTCCTACCAATTCTTCTAGCCATCTAAATATTTATTTAAGAAAGAAATATAAACTGCAAGGAAATTAATTTTATGAATTGCAAGGTTCATAAGTTTTGGGGGCTATTGACTCAAATATCCATTTTTATAAGAGTTATTGAGTGTATAGCAATATTTGATTGTAAAATTTCATTTCATTGTGGTTTTCCATTTGCATTTCCTTGGTAACTAACTATTCTGAACATATTTTCATGTGCTTAGTATCCATTTACATGTATCTAGTTACCTCTTTGCCTATTTAGAAATTTAGTTATTTGCCTTTTGACTGTTAAATTTTAAGTATCTTTTATCTATTCTTGATATGAGTTCCTTATTAGAAATGTTTTGCAAATAATTTCTCCAATTATATATGATATCTTTTCACTTTCTTAATTATGCTTTTGAAAACACAAAAGCTTTCAATTATGACAAAGCACAAAATTTATGTATCTATTATTTTGTCATTTGGCATTTGACTGTGTGGATCATAACAAACTATGGCTGACTCTGAGAAGAATGGGAATCCCAGAACATTTAATTGTGCTAATACGAAACCTATACTTGGACCAAGAGGCAGTAGTCAGAACAGAGCAGGGTAACACTGCATGGTTCAAAATTGGGAAGGGTGTATGCCAGGGATGCATCCTGTCTCCATACCTTTTCAACATGTATGCAGAGCAGATTATCCGAGAGGCTGGGCTCTATGCGGAGAATTGTGGCATCAGGATTGGTGGAAGATCTATTAACAATCTGCGTTTTGCAGATGACACAACCCTGCTTGGTGAAACTGAGGAGGACTTCATGCACTTGCTGCGAAGGGTCAAGGACTGCAGCCTTCAGTATGGACTGAGGCTCAATGTCAAGAAGACAAAGATTCTCGCCACTGGACCAATTGGCAGCGTCAGGATGGATGATAAAGTGATTGAGAGTGTTCACAGCTTCAGTTTGCTCGGCTCCACAGTCAACACTCTTGGCACCAGCAGTCAGGAAATCAAAAAGCGTATTGCGATGGGAAAGTCTGCTGTTAGGGACCTCTCTAAGGTACTCAGGAGCAACAGTGTCTCCCTGGAGACTAAGGTGCGCCTGATACAGGCCATGGTATTTGCAATCGCTTGTTATGCATCAGAGAGTTGAACAATGAGTAGGGAGGAGACAGAAGGAGAGTGGATGCTTTTGAGCTGTGGTGCTGGAGAAGGGTACTGAATGTACCATGGACTGCCAGGAAAACAAACAGATTCATCTTGGAGAGGATTAAACCAAGCTACTCCTTGGAGGCATGGATTCTGGGGCTTCCTCTGACATACTTTGGACATGCTGCCAGGAGGGATAGGTCCTTGGAGAGGGACATCATGCTTGGGAGGGTTGAGGGACAACGCAGGAGGGGAAGACTATGAGATGGATTGATTCAGTGACTGGGGTAATCGGGATGGGTGTGTCAGAGGCGGTGTCGTTGGCGCAGGATAGAGCAGGGTTTAGGGCTGTTGTGCACAGGGTCGCTATGAGTCGGAAACGACTCGACGGCACATAACAACAACAACAACAATTTTGTCACGTGTTTTTGCTGGTATAACTCAGAAATTCCAAGTCCTCATCTAAGGCCATGAACATCCAGTCTTAATGTTTCCTTTTAAGAGTTTTACCATTGTGATCGTATACTTAGGTCTATAATCCATATTGAGTTAATTTTTGTATGGGATGAAGTAGAGGTCCAACATCATTCTTTTGCTCTAAAATATGTATGTATGTATGTACAGTAAATCATTGTAATCTTTACAACGGCACTCTTAAGTGACTCAAGGATTAAACAATCAAGGTTTAGAAAAATTAGTAACCTGCTCAAAGTCTCACAAGTGGTGAGCAACAGAGCTATGATTCCAGCCTTGTAATCTGCTTTGTGAGTCCAAGTTCTTAAGTTTCTTTGTGAAATCTACAAAAGTAAGGATAAATTGTGTTGAAATAACTGATAATAATTTGTAGAAAATTATATGAACTCTTACTCATAATTTCCAACAAAACATATTTCTTATATATTAAAGAGTTAACTAACAAAAACAGAATATTAATGCTTTCGGAATAGAGGAAAACTTTTAAATGTGATGGTAATGGGGAGAGGAGTCTAAAGGAAAACTGTTAAAACTGTTAAACTCTTTCATCCATGGGGGTATGATCTATCATTGATTGCATGTAAGTCCTTTATAAGTAAAGGTAGTGTTCAATATATATTTATGGACTACATAAATGATTGATGAACTTAAAATATATAAAAATAAATTCAACATCCATTTCTTTCTGGGAATAATGGATCAACATTGTTCAAAAGAGGTTCTAAGCTCTAGGATTTTTTCAATATCTTATACATTTTAAGCTGGCAGTTAGAAATTTGTATTTAAATGATAAAAAGTTATCTTCAGATTCTTCAAAATCAGTTGATCAATAAAACAGAAATTAAATGTCAAAACCAGGTATTGAATATGTTAAAATATATTCCCAAATGATTATATTATAGAATACAGTATTTGTTTCATAATATGAAAGTTTATAAAATGGATACTCTCATATTTTATTATCATTTTGCAAGTAATGTACTAAGTAAAATAAAGTCTTAGTGATCTGGATGAATATTAAGTTCTCTGTATGGCTCATTTGAAATATCACAGAAACATACACACAAACATCACTAAAATTCACTGTAAACCCAAACTTCCTAAGAAATGGTAGATAAAAATTATCAATAACAGAATTAAAAAATGATTCTTAAAGAAAATCTTATAGCCAATAAAACATCACAGTTTATACAAGAAATGTCATATAAATTAAGAAAACCTAAAAGTCACTATATATTAGATGCCAAACCATTTGTTGTTGTTGTTGCTGTGTGCCATAGAATTGGAACCAAACCATAGCTGACCCTCCAGCAAATTTTCAGAGTCAGCAAATTGCACAAGAGCAGATTGGCCATCTTTCTCTTATGGAGCAGCTGGTGGAATTGAACAGTGTACCTTTGAGATTGCAGTGTAGCTTCCTATCACTAGGCCACCAGAGCTCACTATTATTAGGGAACTTGCTTATTAGCATGTATCAAATAATTTTGGATCTACTTTTTATCCTTTTCTTAGAGGTCTAGTTAACAAAGTTTGAAAACAATTACATTTCATCGAGACAAAGCATTAGCACAGAGTCACATCCAGTTCCCACAAACACAATCAACCAGTTTCTATTGGGTTTTGTTTTGGTAATTAGGTTTCCACTTGCTTAATTTCACGATGATTTTCAGGAAGAAATCTATGGACAAATCAGTATGCATGAAAGCAAACCTTTGAAAGGAAGACAATTGTTACCATATATCAGACTTTTTCCACCATAGAATCAACAGGATCAAAATATGGCTGCTAAAAGTGGAGACACAGTCATCTGCTGAAATGACCATGACCTTCACTGATGACCGTGAAGACTGAAAGGAGAGATTATTCATCCAGAACTCATATTTTTTACCATTCTCTCCAATTTCTTTCCAGGACAGTAAAATTATAAACACCAAAGAAAGCAAACCCATGTGTGCTTCTGTATTTTAAAACACAGTTGAAACCAAATAGAAAAGAGACCTATTGAGGTAAAACAAAGCATTCTTCTTCCTTACTTTTAACCGTGAGGTACATGGACTTGCTGACGTCTGCGCCCACATCGTTGCTGACCTTGCAGAGGTAGTAGCCACTGTCTTCTTCCACAACATGCTTGATCAGCAAGGACCCATTGCTGAGGACCTGGATCCGGCCATTCAAGGCAATTGGTTGGAACTGGGGAACCCCAGCACCTGGAGTGGAATGAAAAAGAACAGTGATGCAAACACAAATAGGTAAAAACAATAGTTCATAGGGATCAAGAAGGAGAAGAAATGGACATTTAAGAGACGCTTTTATAGATCACTTCCCAATTTTTAAAAAGCCAAATTTTATATGTGTTTTGTTGTTGTTACATGCCATTGAGTCACCTGTGACTCACAACGACCCTATGTACAAGAGCTCTGAACTGTGCTTAATCCTGAGCCAGTCTCATTGACCAGCACGCCTACTCCTATTACCCTAGTCACTGTGTGAATTAATCTTATCCAGAGTATTCCTCTCCTGTGCTGTCCCTCCACTCTTCCGACCATGACATTCTTCTCCAAGGACATGTCCCATCTGGCCATGTGCACAAAATATGTGAGACGGAGCTTCAAAATCCTTGCCTCCAAGGAGAAACTTGGTTTTACTTTCACAAAGAAAGATTTATTTGTTCTCTTGACAGTCCATGGTATCTTCAATATTCTTCTCCAGCACCACAACTCAAAAGCATTGATTCTTCTTCTATTAACCTTAATTATTGTCCAGGTCTCTGATACATAGCAAGTAACTGCAAAGACCATGATTTGGATCAGAAGCACCTTAGTCTCTAGACTGACATTATTATTCTTCAGAACTTTGGAGAGGTCTCTGACAGTAGACTTCCTCAAGGCAATTTGACTTGTATTTTACTGATTGCTGGTGCCCAGAGTGTTGGTTGTAGAGCCAAGCAAGTGGAAACTGTTAACAATTTTAATCTCTTCCCCCTTTATTGTGGTATTGTCAATTGGCCCAGTGGTGAGAATTTTTGTCTTCTTGATGTTGAGCTTCGATTAATATTTAAGGCTGCAGTCCTTGACCTTCTTCAAAAAATGCCTCACATCCTCAGTTCAGCAAGCAAAGTTATGTTATCTGTGTAATGCGGGTTGTTGATAAGACTTTCTTCAATCCTAATGTCACATTCCTCCAAATATTTTGTCATTGATAAAATACTCAAGAAATTACAGTAGTACAACCAAAAACTTAGACATGTCACATGGTCCTAAATGCATTCCTTGTATTTGTGGAGTTTTATTAACATGCAATGAAGGGGCACACAATGAAGGGTACAGAGAGTACCAGTTACATGGATTTCTCATCTAAGTATGGCCATATTCCAGTATAGAAACACAATGGTAGATATTATTTAATTACACTTAAATGACTAAGGGAGCCGAGTTGTCAGAGTTTGTAGGGTTTGTGCTGCTAGGCAAAGCCACTGCACAAATTCACCAATGGTTCTATGAGAAAGATGGACTTTCTCTTCCCACTCAATGTATAGCCTTGGAAATCTAAGAAAAGATTAGCTATGAATCAGTTACAACTTAAGACAATGAGTTTGTTTTAGTTTTCAATAATAAATAAGTCAACACTGGACTTTGAGACAGCAGAACACTAAAACATCACTATGCGACATGATGAACATACCACAGGATAAGGCAAGGTTTCAGGATCACTAACAGTCATAGATACAAAGTCATATGAAAGACATATATGAAAGTATTCTGAAAATAATTTTTTTGAAATAATAGAGAATGAAGGCCCCAGAAGATTCTGAACAGTAGTTTGGACTCACATGGGATCATAATGAGTTTGAACTGACACAATAGCATTTGATGGTAGGGAAGGTCCCTTGGTACTTGAAATTTATATGGCTGTTGTATGGTTTTCTTTGATTCTCTTGGTTTCCTGTCTAGACAAACACCTCATCTCTAACCAGTGCCAAGTGACTTTCTGTAACTGCCCACTCCCTTGCTTCAACTAAAAAGGGAAGGATAGGTTGCTCCAAGTATGTGGAAGTTCCTACTTTTTTTCTACTCTCAAACCCTGGAAAGCACTTTGATTGGGATGTGATCTTACTTTCTTGCTTACTTCTCTCCATATTGACTTTCTGTGTGCCTTTGTTACTGAACCCTTCTTAGGAAGCCTTAGCAGAATCTTTCAAGGTCTGAACCACTTTCTCCTGTTGTTAGTTGCCACAGTGTCAGCTCCCATTCATGATGACCTTATGGATCACAAAAAACACTGACCAGTCCTATGCCATCCTCATGATCCTTGATATGACTGAGCTCATTGCTGTGGCTGTTCTATCAACTTACGTCAGTTTCCTTCATTTTTGCTGACACTCAGCTTGGCCAAGCATGAAATACTATTTAGTGATTGGTATTTCCTGATGATGTGTCTAGAGTCTCAGTGTCTTCACCTTCATTCTGGTTGCCTTCCCTTTAGACTAATTTGTCCTTTATTCTGGCAATTCAGTATTCCTCACCAAATCAATATTATTCACTAACCCCTCAGTTTTAATATGTCAGTTCTTTTATCTTCCCTTTTTGTTTCCAGCTTTCTATGTGCATGTGAGGCCATTAAAAATGCCATAGTTTAGGTCTGGCACACTTTAGTCCTCTAAGTTAAGAGATATCTTTTATTTTTCCAACGTACTTTTGAGCAAACTAAAACTATTGCCCTTTGGGTTAGCAATGGAGTGTGTTCAACATTGCACTACTCAGGGAATCAATTAAAATATTAATGACTACTTAAAAAACAACCAAAAGTGTTGATTGTTGATGCAAGGAAGACAACATTATTGACAGCTTCAATCCTTTTCCATCTGCCATAATGGTGACTGTTGGTTCTGTGGTGAGGACTATCATTTTTTCTTGATATTGAAATGTAGTCCTTGATCTTCAGCAATAAGTGTTTCAGATCCTCCTCAGTTTTAGTAAATAAATTTGTGTCATCACCCTTGGAGCCAGCAGTCAAGAAATCAGGAGATGTGTTGCACTGGGCAAGTCTGCTCTTAAGGACCTCTCCAAAATGCTGATGAGCAATGATGTCAGTTTGAAGACTAAGATGTGCCTAGTTCAGTCCATGGTCTTCTCAATCACCTGCTATCCATCAGAGAGTTGGACACTGAATAATGATGACAGAAGAATTGATGCCTTTGAGTTTTGGTGCTAGAGAAGAGAACTAAATATCCCATAGGCTTCCAACGAACAAACAAATATATCTTGGAGATGATGCAGCCAGAGTGCTCCTTAGAGGCAAAGATGGAGAGGTTTTGTCTTTCATCTTTGGACATGTAGCTAGGTGAGGTTATTTCTTGGAAAAGGACATCCAGTGAAAGAAAGGGAGACCCCTTCCACAAGATATATTGACATGATGACTTCAGCAATAGGATCCAGTGTGTCAGAGATGACGAGGATGGCGGCTTGATAGGGCAAGGATCGGGTTGTCTGTTGACAGGGTCGCTATGAGTCATGCTCAACTTGACAACACCTAACAACAACAACAACAACAACTTTAAAAAGGTTAGGTGTTCTGATAAGTGGAAATATGAGCTATGGTATTTATTTACTGATACACTGAACATTGTATGGATGGTCAAAAGAATGAACAGATAGGTCTTGGAGAGAGTGTCATCAGAGCACTCTTTAGAGGAAAGAATGATGAGGCTTCACCTCACATAACTTTGGACATGTTGCTAAGAGGTGCTATTCCTTGGAGAAGGACATGATGCTGGAAGGGTTGAGAGTCGGTGAAGGAGAGGAAGACCCTCACCCAGGTGGATTGACATGGTGACTGCTGCAGAATGCTTCAGGCTAGAACGGGGTTCAGAACTTTTGTTCATAGCATAACTATGAGTTTTACTCAACTCGATGGCATTTAACAACAGCAACAACATTCATCAATTTACCTGGTTAGGCAATTTTCCTAAAACCACTTATTAGATAGTTCATCTTTTCCTCACTATCCAACTATCCTTAAATGTTTTATTGTTTATAAAAATGCATACACTTCAATAATCTAGTATATCAATGTTTTCCACATTCTATCTTTATTAAAATAGTTGAGATTTTAAAGAAGATAATTTTTTGAGTCTTGATGATATTATCCTAATATTCATCTAGGAAAAAAACTACACAAACAAAAATCAATGCAAGGAATTTAAATGCTTGAAAAAGGAAAACAAAAGGAACACTGTTGTATCATACAGTCAAATATATTTGAGAGATGTAAATCTCTATTAAGTGTATTACTGAGGCTGAAGTACACAAATAATAGAAAAAGTGAAAGAATGGACTCCAGTGTTTACATTCTTTTTCTATAAATAACTAAAGCATATCAAATCCATTAGAAAATGTTGGATTATTCAATAAATAGCCTTTTTACAACTGGCTAGCCACGTGAACTAATGAGAATGACAATTTTAGCTCTAATGATGGAAAAGTTCTCCTAACTATGTGCAGTGAGTCATGTACCATAATAGATTGTGTCTGTTCGACTAGTGGTAAAGAGTTGCACTGCCAACTTGAAGGCATCCAGTTCAGAACCACCAGTTTCATGGAAGAAAGATGGGCAATTTCCTCCTGTGTGATTTACAGCCTCTGCTAACCTGTTGGAAGGTCAGCTATTCATTTATTTTGACTTAATGGCACATAAGAACAGCAGAATTCCTTGTACTAAATGATCACATTGGCCCCTTTCCTTTTTCCACTTCACACATATATGCGTTGTGATACATGTTGTTGTTGTTGTTGTGAAGTACTGTCAAGTATGACTCAGAGCAACTTCAAGAACAACATATTTGAACCCTGTTCTACCCTGTGCCAAGCTCTTCATCTCTGACACACTTGAGTCTATTGCTGTAGTCGCTGTCAATCCAGAGAGGGTTTTCCTCAATTTCTCTGACCTTCTATCCTTCCTAGCATGATATCCCTTCCAAGGAACAGTCTGTCCTCGCAGTATGTTCAGAGTGGTGCATATGGGTTAAGTAATTTATGCATATTCATATAGACAGATGATAGTTTGACTGGAATTTTAATATATAGCTAACTATCTCTTTAGTGATGGTTTCTACTGCCTCTCTCAGACTCTTATTCTTCTTTTACTAAAATGAGTTCCAAATCTAACAAAGGTTTGTGTCTAAACAATATAGTTTCAGTCTTGAAATGTCAACATAAAACCAGCACTACTTCTCTCATGCAAAAGCAAAGGGAAAGAAAGAAAACATCCAAACATATTTTCTGAGAAATTAGGAACTTGTGAGAATCTCAACCACAAAAAGAAGTGTAAGAGCTATCAACAGTGAGACTGAGCAAAGACCTGTGCCAAGTAAGCACATGATATCTTTGGACAAACTGACTCCAAGTGGATAACACTATGGTATAAACTAGTAGCTAAGAATTTTTTAAGCAATATCTTCCTTATTTATAAAATTGATATAATAATGCACTATAGTTTCTGTTACACTGAAAATTATTAAACACAATGTTCATTATATTTATAGATTCCCATTATCATTATAGATAAGTATAAACCCCAAACCTCCCCAAATCCCCAGATGTTGAGGTCATGGTGACACTCCCTCAGATTCTGGGGCTATAAATTGCTAGGGGAGGAAGACTACCTCATCTTTCTCCTGGAGACAGGCTAGGAGATTCAAAACTGCAAACTTTTGGTTATCTGCCTAATAGATACTGCATTACACCAGAAAGGATCCTTAGAAATAGGTACTACTGAAAACTGTGGGTGCCAAGTATAAAGTACTAAAATGCTGGGAAATTGCTAATATGTCTCGAAACTATAACTTCGGCTTAACACTTTGAGAAATTTTACATATAGAATTCTATCCCTTGGGAAATATGGCCCTATACACAAAGATCAAAATGATAAAAATCATTATGATGTTTCATATTAGTAAAAAAACTTGAAAGAAATACAAACACAAACTGTGCTAGAGACACCTAATAGCCTATGTATCCATTCTTTCCTTCTTACCTAATAATTGTTAACATTAGCTGTATTTATGATCTGTAATATGTCCAGCTACTCCAAGGTTTGAAGATCCCCTCCTAACTAAGGTCATTGAGTCAGTGAAAAGCTAGCCAAAGTAGTTTACAACACACCTCTATAAAAGTGCTTAAAAGAAACCAGTGGATAAGAAAAAGGAGAGATCTCATCTCTTTTCCCTTCTTCTCTATAAATTTGGCAGTGTTGGCTGGTGCTCAATGGTCATCTTGTGAGGAAGGAAGATGTTTATTAAATGTGGTGGGGGAGAATACAAGTGGTGTGGAGCCCTATTGACTTGGAAGGTCCCCAAAACTAGTCTACAGATATTTAATCCCTGACTCCATTTATGAGGGAGGGGGAATTATTCTGCATTTAATTTGATGGAGCCAATCCTAACTAAGACAACCAAGACTATGGACAAAACTAAAATAACTAATGTCATGAACAATCATAACTAAGTAGTTAGTAACATGAATGCAAACTCTGCTGTCACTACTTAGTTAAGCTTCGAGTCAAAGCTATCATATGGATCCATCATTAAATTAAAGAACAGTTTAGCTCAGTTAATAAAGAATGTTTGCTCTTAGCGGTACACTCATAAAGAATTGTATATATAAGGTCCAGGTGCCAGCAAGCAAGTTAAAAGACAGCTGTGAACTGAACTTTCAGTATAAATTAACAGTATGAAGCGGTATGGGTAGACACAGTAAAGATGGTGACATCTTGAAAAGTAAATAACCAATGTCATTAAATTGCACATGCATAAATTGTGAATGGGTTCATGTCCTTGACTGTGTGTATATTACTATCAAAAGCAAATAAAATTTAAAAACCAAAATTGTATTTTTATCTATGGATATATATTTGGTAC